CCAAATGGGATTCATTCCAGGGATGCACAGATGATTCCACATATGCAAATCAATGAATATAATACACTATATTAACAGGTCCAAGGACAAAAAGCATATGATCGCCTCAACAAATGCAGAAAAAGCATTTAACAAAATCCAAAATGCATTTATGATAGAAACCCTCCCAAAAATTGGAACAGTCTCTACCTCAATCTGATAAAATCCAACTATGAAAAACCAACAGCCAATGTCATACTAAATGGTCAAAAACTGAAATCCTTCACACTACAATCAGGAACAAGACAAGGATGTCCACTATCACCACTTCTGTTCAATAAAGTGTTGGAAACATTAGCCATAGACGTTAACCAAGAGAAAGCAAAGAAGTCAAATTGTCATTATTTACAGATGACATGATACTCTATATAGGGGACCCCAAAAAGTCCATGAAAAGTCTTCTAGACTTAATTACCAAATTCAGTAAATAGCTGGACAAAAATCAATAGCTTTCCCTGTGAACAACGTACTCACCAACAGAGAAATGGGGCAAACAATTCCTTTCACAATAGCATCCAAATATTGAAATACTGAGGAATCAACCTAAGAAAAGAAATCAAATACCTGTACACTGAAAACTATAGCACTCTGAACAAAGAGACTGATGAGGATACCAGAAAATGGAGAAACATCCCTTGCTCCTGGGTAGGAAGGGTAGGAAGGGTCAACACAGTGAAAAGGATCATATTTTCAAAACTGCTACGTAGATTCAGTGCAATCCCAATTGAAATTCCAGCAGCAGATTTCACAGACCTTGAAAAAATAATCCAAAAACACATTTGGAACAAGATGAGACCTAGAATAGCAAAAGTAATTCCAGGCAATAAAGACAAAGCAGGGGATATCACAATCCCCAAAACTGAAACTATACTATGCAGCTACTGTGATTAAAAACAGCATGGTACTGGCAAAGAAACAGACCTGGGGATCAGTGGAGCAGATTAGAAGATGTAGAAACAACTCCAGACACACTCAGCCACCTTATTTTCCACAAAGTAGCTAAATACACTCACTGGAGGAAAGATAGCCTCTTTAATAAATGGTGCTGGAAAAACTGGGTTTCAACTTGCCAAAGATGAAAACTACACCCATATCTCTCACCATGCACTAAACTAAACAAAATGGATTAAAGATATAAATATTAAAACAGAAACACTAAACCAGCTGGAAGAGAGGTTAGGTAGAACTCTTGAAGACATTGGTGTAGAAAACACTTTATGAACAAAATCTCAGTTGCCCGTGAGCTAGCACAAACAATCAACAAGTAGGATGTCTTCTAATTAAAAAGCTTTTGCACAGCAAGAAAAACTACCAACAGTGTGAAGAGACACCCCAGGATGTGGAAAAATCTTTTCACCAGCTCTTCCTCAGACAAAGCTATTCCACTATCTAGAATATATAAAGAACTTTAAAAAAATCAGACCTCCCAAATTTAAAGACCCAATCCAAAAATGAGAATCTGATATGAACGTTTCTCAGAGGAGTAGAAATAGCACATAAACATATGAAAAATGTTCAACATCACTGGACAGTCCAGAGATGTAAATGAAAGCAACACTGAGATTCCCCCTCACCCCAGAAAGAACAGCTGCTATCATGAAGTCAACCAATAACCAATGCTGGTGGGCTGTGGAGAAAAAGGAATCCTCCATTCCTGGTGGGACTGTAGTCTGGTGCAACCATTGTGGAAATCCCATTTGACCCAGCCATTCTCCTGCTGTATCTTACCCAAAGAATTAAAAAGAATCATACTACAGTGATGTATGTACACCCATGTTTATAACAGCACAATTTGTAACAGCGAAAACTTGGAAGCAGCCCAGGTGCCATCCACTGGAGACTGGATAAAGAAAATGTGTGTGAGTGTGTGTGTGTGTGTGTGTGTGTAATATTGAGTACTACTCAGCCATAAAACATTAGAAATTAGGGCTAGGGATTTTGCTTAGTGGTTTTGCCACCTGCCTGACAAGCACAAGGACCCAAGTTCGATCCCAGGTACCAAAAAAATAAATTTCTAAACAATGACAAATTAGAAACATTTATAGCTAAATGGATGCATATTGAAGTGATACTCTTAATTGAAATATATAGAACACACATGTAAATACTGAAGTTTTTCTAGTGTGAGAAACTGAAAGTGTAAATAAAAAGCAAAAGGTATAATAGATAATGTAAAATAGGACAAAAAGGGGCAAAGGGAAGGGGTAGGGGAAAAGAAAGAAGGGGATGGTATTAATATGAAAAAATGGAAACAAAATCTTTGTAAATAGGGAGGAATGGAGGGGTTTAAGGGAGGGAAGGGGAATGGGGAAGAAAATAAGAATCAAGATAGGTTATGTAAAGGTGCAAATTTCCAATGATGGTTGTCATTGTATACCTAAAATGTATCAATAATATTAATTTTAAAAATTAAATGTATTAAGGAGATATGTACAGGTGGTATAGAAGTTTTGAGAAAATTACCAAAAGTCTTTAACTTCAGAGCTGCCTTCACAGAAGAAATCATCTTTGAGCTATTCTTTTTTTCTCTCTCTCTGATTGAGTTTATTGGTACATTTTAGGTATACAGTACAGTTACATTCATTACTGGGATCCTGTACCTTCACATGAAAGGTCTTGGTTCTCAGTTTTTCCCCTTGTCCCTGCCCTCCCTTCACTCCCTCTTATCCTCCCCATTTACAAACACTTTATTTCCATTTTTTCATTTTCTCATATTTTTTTCTTTTCCCTTATTACCTTTCCCCTACCCTTCCCACTTTCCCTACACCTTTAGCCTAAAGGATAAGCAGAGCTTTACTTGATGGACAGCTGAGACAAAGGAATAATTCATGCATAAATAAGCCCATCATTAACATTGTTAATGAAGTACCCTAATTGATCCTACCAACTAGTCACTCTTTTTCCTTCCCCCAGTTACACAATTGAATATGATATCTGAGAATGAGTCTAATTTTCAGGTGGGAAAGTAGTCTCCAAGAAGCTAAAAAATAGGTATTAAACTGAATGAGGAGGGACTGGGAATTCAAACACAGGACCAGATTTGAGAATCAGAATAGAAAGTAAAAGGTGATTTTTCTATCAGAGAGGATAGTTGGGAATGGAAAAACACCTGTCATGGTAGTCATTATTCTGTTATATGAATCTGGGCTCAGTGACTGGGACTATTTTGCCTTTATTTTAACAAAATCTTATCACTTCCATTTTGAGATAATTAACACTATATACATATTAAGAGCCTACTAAAAACAGAATGGAACTTGTTAAAAAGATACATTAGGGCAAAATTTGTTATAATGGCATGAATTTGTTCCTATTGTTAAGATTATTAAAGAGAGTTCTACCTAGCTTATCTTCCAACCAGTTTAGTGTTTCTGTTTTAATATTTAGATCTTTAATCCACTTGGATTTTAGTGCATGGTGAAAGATATGGGTCTAGTTTTAATCTTTGGCAAGTTGAAATCCAGTTTTTCCAACATCATTTTTTAAAGAGGCTATCTTTCCTCCAGTGAGGATGGTTGGCTCCTTTTTCATAAACTCAAATTATTAAAATCTAATTGACTTTGTCTAATCTTTTTATTTTGTCTAGTCTTGACGCTATTATTTTGTTAGAGTTATAATATTTTTGCTTGCTCATAGGTTAGCATACCAAATTATAGTTAGTAATGTATATCCTTTATGTTTAGGCAAAATCCACTTGCTAACTAGGGATAACTTGTGGATTAAAAATAAGCATTAAATTTTTTATGGTTGAAGTGAAATCAGAAGATAAGTAGTATTTCATGACACATATTTTAGTTTAAATTATATTTGTTTTATAAAATTTAATGTAAAATGCATTATAAATCTTATTCAAGCTGAAACATCAGCATGCTATTTGACAGATAAGAAAATTACCCTGCAGCCTCATGAAGGGATATTTTTTCCAGTTGTACAAATACATAGTAACAGTTCAGATGTTTGTGAGCCATGTTATTCTGGTTTTAAAGTGAGTATTATTTCTGCTTTGTCATCTTGCACCTTTATTTTCATATAGAATGCCTAGTTATGAAGAAAAACACTCATTAGAAGGAATTAATTGATTCTATTTAAGTCAATAAAGTATTGACAGAAAAGATTTCTAGCATGATTTTCCCTAATGCTTTTCTTTCTATAACATGCATTCTAATTAAATATTTTATAAGCTGCCCACTATAGTATTTTAATATTAATAGGGAAGTCTTTTATTAAATTATAGTTTACTTATTTATACTTTTTCTAGATATCTTGATTTATAATAAAATAAGTTTATTTTCAAATATCTTACATTTTCAGAATGTTTAATCTACACAACTCAGCATCCTGATATTCCAAAATTAATGTAATTAATTCACCTACCATAAGCATAGTAGTTTCCTTGATTATATCATATATAATAGAATTTTCTGTTCTAATTTCAAAAAAGTTCAGTTGATCAGCTTTTAACCTTTTATTATTTATAATATGATTTTAGACATAATTCTACTTAGATATGTCTTAGATTACTTTTTGGTTCCTTCCAAATTAAAAATAAATTAGCCTGATATGGTAGTACACACCTCTAATGCTAGCACTCGGGAGGCTGAGACAAAGGATCTCCACAAGTTCAAGGCCAGCCTGGGCTCCATAGTCAGTTCAAGGCCAACCTGAACTACCATAGTAAGATCCTTTCTCAAAAAAAAAAAAAAAAAAAAATCCATAGCATGTGTTTTAAAAACTATGTAAATATTCACTTTTTTACTGTCTTGTTTTTTTTCTCTTTGTTTAAATATTTACTACTGAATAGCAATCCAACTAGCATTGGAATATTACTCTGCTTCCATACATGCTCAATAAATGTAATGTTCATCAAAATAATAATTATATCATAAAACATACTATTCCCCCCACTCCTCTTTAATTTTACATAATTAACAACTACCTTTTTCCTTTTTCTGTTGTTTCAGTCAAAGGATCAAGAAAGTTAAGTCTGCCAACAGATCTTAAGGCTGATCTTGGTACGGTAGGCAAAAGCCAACGATTTTCAGTTTTCTTACATTCATTTGGCTGAACATTTTTACCAACCAGTCCATGAATAACACAAGTTTCGTAGATGGTAGTATTTAACACTTTTCCAAAAATCTCTTTCTTAAAAATCACCATACAGTTCTGTTGGCAGCATTCAACATTATTTGTTAATAATCATTTTACAAAATTTTGTTTTATAAATCATAAACCAAGGTATGTAATATTTATTTTCTTGTCATGAAAATGTTTTAAAACATTCTCTATCACACATTTAAACTTTTTGTGACTCTAATCACATAAATGACCATACTTTTCTGGAGTTATTCTCTGAATTGTATTTTGCTATTTTCATGTACATTTTGAGCACAGATAGTTTATGAAAATTTGGATATATATGAAAGATAAAATAGTCACATTCTTATCACTTTAATAAAAGAAATTTTTCACTTAAGAGAATCACAACAGAACTTTAATTTCTGATGATATTATCAATGCTTCACCTTTTAGTAGTTATTTTTAATGTTAATGAACAAAAACATAAAAGATGTATATCTCAGTGGAATAACCTGTAACATTCGTACCTGTATGCATTGAATAATGTTTAAATCAGGTTAAACATATTTATCTCCTCAAACATTTATCATTTCTTTGTGGTGAAAACTTTCCATGTCATTTCTTCTACTGTCTTGAAATGTATAGTACATAATTGTTATCTACACTGTGCAATAGACTTCTTGCTTTCATCTAACAGTAATTTAGTACCTATTGATCAACATTTCCTCATTCCTTCCCCCCTCTATTTCATTTTTAACACTGATTTCCTACAAATATGAAGAAAAAGTCATAAGGCTTTTTCAAAAAGATAAAAGTCTATATATGTGAACTCTTCCTGTATAAAACCTTAGCATAAAATGCACCCTAAGTTTCTTGCAACATGCTTTAGGAAGGTTATTTTATAGTAGTCTGTCATCCATTAGTGAAAAAGGAAGAAATGTAGGAGGGTATTACAGTGGGCCAAATGAGAGACTAAATTAGAATAACAATGAGAATCAAAGGAAGGCAGGATTTCCAAGGGAGATTTATAGCTGATAGTTTGGGGCTTGGAGGTAGGGGAACAGGCCAGAAAAGGAATTGGCAATAAGAGGTAGGTATTCAGGGATGGCTACAGAACGTTGAATATGTTGAATGGTCAGTAGTTCTCATGGAGACTACCTGGTTTGAAAAAGCAAGGAAAATGAGTTAGAGTTGTCAGAGGAACATCAATGTTAAATATACAGTGAACAATTATAAATGTCAAGCCAATAGCACTAGGTAAGATTCATCTATATAAGGTATTAGCAAGTATGTAAATGAGTTGCTTACTTGAAGATGAAAGAAATGGCACACTGGATATCTCTGGATGCTAACCTAGTTTCATTGCAGCAACCCTTATCTGGAGTAACAGTGTAACATTAAGAGTACAATAATAGTAGCAACAGTAAAATACGTATATATTTAATACATTTAGAGCCTTAATTTTTTGTCATTTTATGAAGAAATTGCTAGGCTGATTGGTAAGAAATTGCTTTATAACTAGAATTTTTACAGGTAGTGAAAAATTATCTTATATTCACATTTTTAACAAAAATGCAATATTTCTCATTTCTAGAAAACAGAATTTTGAATTTAAAATCCAAAAATTTAATTAAAAGATTTGTGCCTCAAATGTACATAATCTAGGGGTTGGTACTTTGAATTATTAACATACTAAGATATACGCATAATCAACTACTGTATATGAAATGAAGGACCCCAAAAGCTCTCAAAGAAAATCTGCAGGGTGAACTCTAGCCAACAAAAAGATACAGGAAGAGGCCACTATGAAAGGTCAAGTAGTGATTATTTAATTCATTTCATTGTAGAACTAATTTAATAATGGTGATAAATACGATTATAAAATAGAATATGCTGAAAAATCTTGACAATATAAAAATAATAGTATTTGAAAATAAGATGTGGGAAGTAAAGAGATTAAGGTAGCCAACAAAAGAATTAATACTTCAGTGAACTTTAGTGGCTAGCTGGTGGTGAATTGACAGCAAAGTGAAGTAGAAAAAGGATTATATTAATTGTACCTTTCATAACCCTGATGATCCTGAAAACTAGTTGTGACATTACTTTTGTGAAATGGTTCCCTATATAAAACAAAATTGGCTATGGATAGTGGAGTATGGATCATTGTGTCTCATTTATGAAAACTACCAGTGAGTATGAAGCTAATTAAAAAGTTAATTCATCCCATGGTTCTCAGTTTGGATCAGTATCCCAACAATGTGTTGTTGACAGACCTTTGATGTCAAATGCAGGGTATTTATAAATACATTAAAGAAGAGGAAAAGCTAGCATGCCGGGGAAAGCAAGATGCTTTTGTATAAGCTGATCACAGTTTAGTGGCACTAGAGACTGGTTCCCAGTTTCTTCCTCTTCATGTCCGTTGCTGATGCCTCAAATAGTATACAAATTCCAACTTTAAAAATAGTCATTTTGAGTGTGTCATTTGTTTCATACAAGAATAGCATTCCTATGCCTATTGGCTATGACTGTTGCCCAGTGCTATTTAACTATTATAACGGTGGGTATTGACCCTAATCTCCAAAGTAGACATTCTAAAACAGATAATCAAGCCCAGCATGTCATCAATGGTATACTTTCATGACATAGACAAAGGGGCCGCAAACAAGGACAGCAAGCAGACTGGAGAAGTCACACCAGAATAACATCCTATTTAGGAGGTAGCCGAGCAAGATTATCAAAATTCTCCACTACGAGAATCAATGGAGCCCTGACTGTTTGAGATGTCCTAAGTCCAGGGCCTTCAAATAATAAAGCTGATTGTACTTTTGTGATCTAGCATGACGAATTACAACTTACTATAGCTCTGTTACTTTCATGATATTAAGGAAAGCTAACAAGTTAATACTGAATATATAATCTGTGCAAATATAATTTCTATGTTTTCCATTTAAATACATTTGGTGAAAATGTTAGATTTTAAAAGCAGCAGTCTTTTTTAATTTTTTTGCTTGGTTTTTTTGTTTTTTATAGGGTCTTGCTATGTACTTCAGGCTAGACTTTGAACTCACTATGTAGCCTAGACTAGCCTTGAACTCGTGGCAATCCTCCTGCCTCAACCTCCCTAATACTGAGATTATGGTGTGTGCCACCATGCCCAGCCCAGCAGTTTGTTTTAAAATGTTTACTTATTTATTTTTGTTGTTTTATTTCATTCTTGCACAAAGCTTCACTGTAAGCAGTTTATTATGGAAATTTGTTACACTAAATTGTAGAATAAAATTATATCCTAGAAAATTAAGTAGAAATATTGTTTTTAATGTTAAAACTAAGATAAAGTGTTTCCCTCATGTCAATAAGCATAAGTAAAATAATTAATTTTTATAAGAAAGAAGGCTTCCCACATTTATTGCAAAATAAAACTGAACAAGAGAAACATCTAAAGAAAAAAGTAATTCAAAGAGCAGTAGGAAAATAGACAAATACTAGGAAAAATAGGAGTTGTGATATTAATATAATTCAAGGCTACATTAAATGAGAAAGGTGCTTATATTTTATAGTGATGAAGTATATAATCCACAATGAAATTCATAAATTTTACTGTACTAAGTAGGATTAGAAATTCTAATATGACTAACAAGATTTGGTCCAGGGATTTAGCTCAGTGGTTCTGTTGCCTGCCTTGCAAGCACAAGGACCCAAGTTTGATCCCTGGTCCAAAAAAAAAAGACTAACAACATTAACAGTTACACTTTCAAAACCATCAGAAATATATGAAAATAATAAATAGAAATGCAATAATAAAAATGAGAGATATTTATATAATTTAATGATAAGAAACTAAAAAGACCAAGAGAGGCAAAGAAACAGAATTGACATGAAAAATTTAGCTTTATGCCTTGCAAATGTAATTTTCAATTGTCCACTGAAATTTTATAAAAATTAAGCATATAGTAAAACCTCAAGGAAAACTTCAGTTCTAAAAATTAGAATATATCCATATTCTCTTATCACAAATAAATGATATAAGAAATTAATAATAAAAAATAGAAAAAGAAAACAACCACTGCTGCCTGTAAGATTGTAAACTCACAAATAACTGATATACCTTGTTACTGATGTACTGCATCAATAGCTAGTTTTCTTTTATCCCCAATATAATCATTAAGCAGTAATAACCATAAAAACTAGTATAGTGACATAGGAGCTAGTGGAAGCAACTGTAAAACATTTTACCTACAGCAAAGAGCATAAGAGAGCAAGATAAAATCAAAATTCCAGACTGCATGAAGCAATCTAATGCTAAGAAACACTATAAAACATTGAATACTATAGCATCACTTCATTCCATGGAAAATTAGTTTTATTTAAAAACCTAACAACTTCTCTTTTTTCCATCTTCTTTCCCTCCCCTTCCTACCCCTTAACTGGGGAAGTAAGGGGATGATGAAAACAGAGTTTTTGCAAATGAGAAGGGCACCAAGAGTTGGAAGGAGCAGGGAAGGAAGAATAGGGGAAGAAAAAAAGTTAAGATGTATTATGTTCATGTACCAATTCACCCTGATAAATGTAATCATTATATACTGCAAATATGTTCTAATAAAAAAACTAAACAAGACTTTAAGACTTTAGAACTTGAAGAGAGTAGTGAAATAACTTTAAATTTTTAAGAAGGCCACATTGTGAAGCAAAAGCAAGCAGAACTTTAAAACACCAGTTAGGGATCTTGGAAAACAATGAATGGAGAATATAAAGAATATGAATTACTAAAAAGATCATATAAAATTTTGAGCTAAGATAGCTGAAATGAAAGATTTATTAGAAGGGTTCTACAGATTTGAGCAGTCAGAAGAAAGAATCAGCAAACCCAAAGATACAATTGAAATGAAAAATTAACAATCTAAGGTTTCTATAGCATACCATCAAAGATAGAAGCACA